CCCCAAAACCCCAAAACCCCAAAACCCCTATATACTTTCACACCGTTGAAAGATTTGGTCAAGACCAGATTCTTTATTTATGCAATGTGGGAGTTACAGATTATTGAAGCTGACACTTCTGAGAGATTTGTTACTGAAAAGTGTCCTGATTTCATCCCTTTGGTCACCTGTGGCTTTTCCTTCATCATAGCAGTTGTCTAAATGTTAACCACAGTGTACCATTATAGGTATAAAATCGGGAGAGAAATCCAAGATCGTTCCTCTGTCTTGAAATCAACGCCCTTTTGAGGGTTATGAAAGGCTTATTCCTAGCAGTACTGGCAGTTTCAGGCATCGACTGCATTAGCTTCATTGCTTTGCTATCTGAACGATTTACATTAGGCTTTTGGTTAATGAAGTTTAGAACAACTTCTTTGCTACCACTTTGAGAGTTAGTAGAGGAGGCTTTGAAATCTGTCTGGATTACAATATTTTTCCTAGCCAACTTTTTGGAAGGAGAAAACCCCTTATTTATGTAGTTTAGTCTCATGGTTGTTCCTTAAGATGCTTAATGAACACGCCTGGCTCTTACTTGACTTCAAAATTTTCTTAGAAGTCTTATCAGTCTGAATGGTATTATGACATTTAGATCCGGGTCTCTTTCGTGCAATTATCGGTCTGTTGATGAGCTCATATTTATCGTCCAAGAAAATAAGTGTTTCTGGATCATTTTCTATTGAGCCTGGGTACTCTTCCTGACTATATTGCTTGCTTAAGCCTATAATAAAGCTTTACTCTTACTTTCCAAGGATTGATTTACAAAATCATGAATTTTAGTAGCGCCAGATTCATTTTTGTGCTAAATCTTAACCAAAATTTTGATATACAGTTTTGAAATTTGGAAGCTTATAGCCATGCTTTCCTTTCCTCTCTCTTCTTTTTCCATTATAGAAGGTTGTCTAGAGATAATTTAAATCCGTACTCTGAATGATTGAGGCAAGAAGGAGTTTCTGCTAATCATTGGCGTCATTTTCAATTTGGGATCTTGAATTTTGGCTTAATAAACCATGTCAGAAAATACAAAATTTCCTTTACCATCAGATAGCTGTTTATTTCAATTTCTGTGAACTAATACTGTATTCAATGGCTGGCGCTTTCTGCATTGGGGTAGCTCAATAGCTAAAAAGCAATTTTCTGTCAGTCTTTTGCTGTTTCTGAAGTTTCTAAAGCTAAGACTTAATTTACATCTATCGAAATCTTTGTTCTTAACTTGCTTCCCTTGAAGTTAAGTTGAAACTCCTTTGGCTTTAACAGAGAAGGTTTTCAAATCTGTGTTGACTTATCAAACCTATTTCTTGTTCAATTTCAGTCGACATCTCGTCATTGAGGTTGCCCTTTTAAGCGGCTTTAGCCTCACATTTGGAGGAGGAGCTGTAAATATGGTAATTTCCAAAATAATTTGGCTTGAAGTTATAGAATAAGGAGTCTTCTTACATTTCTGTTGAACAATAGGGGTCTTTATTGAGTTTATCTGCAAGGAGTCTTCCATGTCTATATGAAAATTTATGGTCAACTCTTGGATTGTAGCTTGATCGAAGTCCTTACTTTTTGGAATAAATCACATATTACCTCTAAGCTTCAGGCTAGAATAGTTCCGCTTCATTTTGAACAATGAAATTATTTTAGTTTATTCTATTTTCATGAAATATAAAGGGGTTTTGGGGTTTTGGGGTTTTGGGGTTTTGGGG